TTATGAATAGTTTATATCAATTCTCACTAAAATTTTCATCAATAGAGCTGGTTGGATCTCTTGAGTTTAGATCTCAAAAACTACACGTAACACTATATAGTAGAGCAAAAATTCTAATTTAACCAGTTGGGCCTATAGGTGGTGCTGTAATAAATGGAATGCACCATAATGCAGAAATAGTTTATGGATACAGTAGTACAGGCTTAATTTAAATCAGGATATTCATTTATTTTGCAAATGCATGTTAAATTAATTGTATGACTATATGATTGTCCAATAAAAATAATGTTATACCCTGCTCTGTTTATTGTGATAGTCCCTATTTTCTAGACTATTATATTATGTGATTGAGGAGTCTCAGTCTAGCCTAGAGTAGTATAATTTGTAGCTAAGCTCTGAAATATAACAAATCTTTCTCAATAAAAGTCATATGTAACTGAAGAGCTTTATAATGGGAGCTCATTAATCTTAAATCCATCTGGTGCAGTGAAAAGACAGACTGATATTAAGGAAAGACCTGGCCAGTTGGGACAATAATAGAAAACTACTTTTGGATGCTGCTAGTTCTATATAAAATTAACTGAACATATATAATATTTGACATATATAATCTTCAAATAATAAATTCATAAAAAGACAAGCTAGCTATGTTTTTAAAGGAAATACACAAACACAGTTTTGATTTACTTTTCAGTTGCCCTGAGATTTCACGTCTAACCAAACATGGTATTTAACAAAATAGTTCAAATATTAAACTGAATTGAAATTTCTTTTTTCTAATAAGATTAAAGTAATGTATGCTTAATCTTGTACAGGCAGTTCTCAATTTATGACCAGTCATTTAATGACTGCCACAAAAAGGTTGTAAAACCGAGTCACTTTACAGATGTCATGAGTTGCAATCATGATGGGGATGAGAACACTATGGTAACTCAAGGACTACCTGTATTGAAAACAATGTCAGAGTTTTCTCTCAGCTGTTTATAATATATCTTTGCATTTAAACAGCACATCCCTTTTGTTCACCTTCATTATGTTTAAAAGATAAGTTATTTTAAATATTTTCTTCCATTCAGTGCGGTTACTTTAATAGAAATTGATATGTTTGCTGAAATCTTAATAGTGTGGGCTAAGTTGTTTTGACCTGAAGGGAAATTAATTATATACATTTAATATATGTGGAATGAAATATGTAACACAAATTTCTTGAGATTGAAAAATGTGGCAAAGAATAATCTAGCCCAGAAAATTTCTGAGCCTAAAGAGCTGAAATCAATAAACTTTCTTTGAATAACTGTATATCCTTTTCTTTCCAGGACCAGTTTGTCTTCATCTTTCTTTTTTACTCTAGGGTTTATTCTGAGCAAGCTTATTTGATGCCATTTATCCGAGAATTTATTGTTCTTTTGCTAGGAGACTGATCTTTTTGCAAGCAAAGGCAATTTGTAATGAACTGATAATGATAATTTAACAGTCTTAACCAATTGTCTGTGATCTGCAATTTAAGGCTGGCTATTCCTTATGCATCCTTGACTTCAGGAGTTTATTATTTACTTGAACAATTGCCAGGAACCCAATAGGGAGATTTCTGAATGAGCCTACCTAACTTTGGAACTTCTAATATGTATTTCAACTTAATTTTATTAACAGCCTGTAGTTGGCAAATAAAACCAAAGATCAACAAATCAAAGAGAAATGCAATCTGTTAAAATGTGGGTTATAAATGATAAATGCTTTTTTCCTGATATTTTTGACTCTTTCAAACCAGACTATGGACCCTCAAAATTGAGATGCAGCTTTCAAAATCTTTCTCAGAACTGGACTGTAAAAACTTCCCTGGTTTTAATGCACGCTCTCTCTCCCGCTCTCTTTTTTCTCTTCTACTGAACTCTACACAGCTTACAGTATTACAAACTGTATACTGCCATCAGAACACAACTATTTATACAGTAGTAATGTTTCAAAAATCCATTGTTTTCACTGTTTTTAAAAAATAAAGATGTGGGATCTGACCTAAGTGACGGGTTATAACTCAGAAAGTCAAGCTTCTAGCCCCTACCCATTGTTGTTGTGATGTATAGTAGCCATGTAGGCTCTTCTAGGTATAGTGTGTAGGGTGTGTGGATTCTACTTAGAGTCCCTGAAAACAACAGTATTGAAGTACACCCGAAAAACGTGTGTTTTTTTTTTGTTTGCCTTTATAAAATAATCCTTTTTCTGAAGGCTAATAAAAACCCAAATAGCCAAAAAAAAAAGTATAAACATTCATAAAACACTTAATAAAACAGTTTTGTACTTTCTCTTTATGGGTTACAGTATTTAGCATGCATTTACAAATTAGTGCTTAAATCCTATAAAATCATGATAATCTGAATGTATATTTTGGTTGGCTTTTCCTATTAAACCTCTTTGAATTGTTGGATGTGCCTTGTTTTCAGTTGCAAAGTATATATTATCATTAGAATTAGACTCTATACTATTTTCCATCTTGGTACTTCTACTATTTAGAAATGAGTTTTCTTAATTTCAATTGTAATTGTTTAACAAAAAATTAATCCAGATTAATTCAATGTAAAAATAATTTCATATTAACAATAGCAGTAGAAGTTAAACTTAATACAAACTATTCAATAGATAAATGAATAATATGAAGAAATATATTAGGAGCCATGGTGGCGCAGTGGTTAGAGTGCAGTATTGCAGGCTAACTCTACCCACAGCCAGTAATTCGATCCTAACCAGCTCAGGGTTGACTCAGCCTTCCATCCTTCCGAGGTCAGTAAAATGAGGACCCAGATTGGTGGGGGCAACATGCTGACTCTGTAAACTGCTTAGAAAGGGGTCTAAAGCACTATGAAGCAGTATATACTATGGCTATTGCTATAAAGAAATATGAATACATGCGATTGAATGCTAGGCATTGAAATTTTAAAATGTCACTAAATAGGACAGGAATTAAAGAATTCTTTCTCATCGGGCTTTTTGATGGACTATTGTGCATGAGAGGACTTTAAAAAGTTGGGCTGATATAGTTCTGAACACACAGATGTTCCTCTTGGCATTCATACAGTACTAGTCTGTATAGGGATTTTACAGGCATAGAATGTGAGCTTCTTTGTTGAAGACAAAGTGTTGCCTATGGTGGGAACTGTTACACTGATGGGAATGTAGTATAATGTGTTGTTTTAGTGTTATGTCCCTTCTCCCTCCCCCACTCCATTCCTTGTAGACAGTAGATTTGCTTTGTGGGCAGTGAATTGTTTCAACCAAGCCTGGCTAATAACATAACCTTCAAGCACATAAGAGAGGTACTTCACATAGTCATGTGGCTTGTTTCAGGTCTCCATGTGAATGCAAATTTTTAAGCTCAGGACTTAACAACTTGGAAAATGAAATTAAATATGTTTTTGAAAAATGACACAATATAAATTAAAAATATTAAACCAACAACAATATAACAGCACCCATCATAAAAAGCTAAAGGCATAAAAAGCTTAAATAGCAATAGCACTTAGACTTATATACCGCTTCGCAATGTAGCCCTTTCTGAGCAATTTATAGAGTCAGCATATTGCCTCCAACCATCTGGATCCTCATTTACCAACCTTGGAAGGATGGAAGGCTGAGTCAACCTTGAGCCAGTCAGGATCAAATTGCTGGCAGTCGGCAGAGTTAGCCTGCATACTACACCACCTCATAGCATTGATCATAATAGATGTTCTAGGTGATCTTTTCTGAGAAAGACATTCTAAAGGAACCAAATCTCAGAGAGGGGGCAGCATCTTGGAACATAATCTTAGTAGTAGTAGTAGTAGTAGTAGTAGTAGTAGTAGTAGTAGTAGTAGTAGTAGTAGTAGTAGTAATAATAATAATAATAATAATAATAATAATAATAATAATAATAATAATAATAATAATAATAAAAGTTGGAAGGGACCTTGGAGGTCATCTAGTCTCAGAATATAATTGCAGTTTCTGTGCAGATAGATCTGGACGAATAATTTGATCTTTTAAAAGGTAGTATCTCCTTTGAGTTGATTGTATAATCTCTTTAAAGAGAAAAAGATAGTTGCAAAGAAAGTACTGAGAGAACATAAATGGTTAGGATTAAAAGTGACAATAAATGCATAATTTTAGTGGAAATAATAATGGTTGTAGAAGAGAATGAAAAGTATTAAACAAGGAGCTTCCAGCAGAGTGGATTGATAATGCACATGATGAAGTCATTAAGGATAAAAGTTAAGGAAAATAATGCTGGAGAATGCTGTTGAATCTCAGGTGCAAAGGATGCTTACGAACAAATCCATTCATTAACTGAAATGTCAGCTTTATAAGAAGCCTTAAAGTGCAGTGAAAGTATTGACTTCTTTTGTCAGTTCTGTGTATAACAGCATATTATCTTCCCCCACCCACCCCCACAGTGAGAACCAATCCAATAGGTGGTGGTTGGGTTTTTTTGCCACTTCTTCAGAATGGGACATCTATTAACAGGCAAGTCACTGAATAGGCTAATTAATAAGAAAATTATCAAGTTAGTCTTGGAAGGGCATCCTAATCACTTACATTTAGGTTAATGGTTTATCACATATTAAATATCATAAATAAATTGTTTTCAGCAGCTTTTGAATTAAATAGATGCTATTAAATAATAAGGTGTTACAAAAGCTTTTGTGTGGTATGGGGTTTCTGTCATGCCTGACCGCTAAAATTGCTGAGTGTAACTGATGAAGCTCCAACTTTTAACTAAATAAAAGATTGCCACTATCTGTTCTTTCCTGTACAGAAGCATTTCTTGATTGTATAGAGAATAGACCTTTCCTAAGGTAGGGAAGGGCTGCACATTGTTGTAGTGGCATAGCATGTTAGGATACATGAAGTTGTCAGCTTTTAGCTTTCCCTCTGTTCAGAATACAATTGAATGCAGCAATATGAGCTGCTTATAATGGCAGATACGTGAAACTGCTGTGTGTTTCCTAACTGTTTTCTTTTTATTGTAACAGATGCTCCCCCAAACTGAGCCCAACATTTCTTTTGCTAAGCAAGGTAATTGTTAAATGAGTCATGCCTCATTTTATGACCTTTATAAAGGGCTGTTAAGTGGATCACTGCAGTTGTTAAGTGAATCATGTGGTTGTTAAGTGAACGTAGCTTCCCCCATTGATTTTGCTTGTCAGAAGGCAGCTGGGAAGGTCACAAATGGTGATCACATGTCCTCAGGATGCTGCAACCATGTAAATATATGCAGGTTGCCAAACACCCAAATTTTGATCATTTTGTGTGGATGCTACAATGGTTGTAAGTGTGAGAACAGTTCATAAGTCACATTTTTCAGTGTTGTTGTAACTTCAAATGGTCACTAAATGAATGGTTGTAAATCCAGGACTACCTGTACCAAGAATGTGCATGTCACTTAATAAATGAAAGAAGGAATGATTTGCTATACTATGTAACAATAGCTGAAATCTTTTTAACAGTTCAATAACATATACATTTGAAGTGAGAATAATTCCGTAAGATCCAAGCATTTGGAGGAGTAGGAATGGTGGTAAATTTTACTGGGTCTCCGAGATTCAGAAATGTCTAGAGAAGGCTACAGTCTCCTTGTAATAAATTTTAAAAAGCTAAATTGTATGCAGTTCATGTTTAAATATACTTATTGACATGTTCTGTGTATCTCTGCAACAGTGTCCAGATCTCATAAAATTTGCTGAAGACAATCCAAAGAAATAATATTAGAACAGAATAAGCAACATTTCATAAGTGTTCCTGATGGCAGATGCCATTCTCTAGAACAGTGGTTCTCAACCTGTGGGTCGGGACCCCATTTGGGGTCGATCGACCATTTCATGGGGGTCGCCAAGCAAGGCTGTCCGCCATTTTTTTTTGTCCGCTATTTTTTTGTCCGCCATTTTTTTTCCCTTTTCCGGCGGGTGCCTTACCTCCCTTGGGCTGGACCAGCTGGTGGTCGGCCTGCTCCATCTCTGCCGCTTGCCAGCTACGCCTCGGCCGGCGCAGGGGGTGGAACCACGCATGCGCGGCGCTCCCGGGCAGGGAAAGTCCTCGACTTACGACCGGTTTAGTCCTCGACTTACGACCGGTTTAGTCCTCGACTTACGACTGGTTGGGGTCACGGCATTAAAAAGGTTGAGAACCACTGCTCTAGAACAGAGCAAAGATGCTTATACATGTCAATTGGACAATAAAAAATCCTAGAAGAAACAATATGGCAACACTTTCATATTGTTGCCAAAAGAACTGCACAGACTGTTTCCTGAAGGCATTCAACTTTCTGGACTCAGCTTGAAGGAAACTTTACTAATTAAACTAAAACTGATCTGGATCTCTCTGTGATGCATTAACAACAATTTCCAATGTCAAAGTTAAAGCAGCTAATCCTAAGGAGCATGGGAAACTGTGCAGCTGATAGAATCTGGAATCTCAATATATATATACTTCTAGTTTTATATAGTCCCTTTGGCTATGCAATATTGCAGTGTAGAATGTTAGCAGAATAAAGCTCTAGAATAACGTGATCTAATTTATGAAATGTTAGAATATAATTTAATACATTATGATTCTCCTACGTTGTGATGCACAGCTGCCTAAAGTGACACATGAATTCTGCGAACCCTGAAAAGATAGAACTAAATAATAAATAATTAGCAAGTAATAAATAAAACTGTTATGGATGGCAGGTGGTTTTAACAGATGGCTTTACCTGCAGATTTCGCCATCTGTCAAAACTAGTCCTGGGCTTTGCTCTCCCCCCCCTCCTTTGTCACAGTCCATTTAGCTGTCTTAGAAGTCCCTGAGATTTTGCTGCCCATGTTGTCTGGACAAGTCAACTGCTAGCTTGCCGAAACAAGTGGGGCAAAGCAGAATGCATTCTGATGGCTCCTCTGGTTTTATATATGCAGCTTTTCAGTGCTCCTGTTTCTTGCTGCCCTAAAGATGTGCTCAAAGCTTGAAATGTGCTTAGTTACTTTTTGTTAAGTAATGACTCTTTCCAAATACTTTACTACTAATGCCACATGTAAAAGGGCCTCTGATAGTTGTGATCCTAGAAAAAGTGTCTTCTTTCCCCTATTACCTGTCTTCATATACAGTAGTGTGCTGCTGGGATATTGCTATTGGGCAGTAGCTATTGTAGCAAATTTGCTTTTTAAAATGTGGAAGGTCCTTTCTGCTCTCTAGCTGCCTAGATGATGCAGTATGACTGGTGGTTCTGCTCCATTAGGGAAAAAACGCATCTCCAGAGGAAGCAGATGATGGGCCTAAAAACCCTACTGCAACATTAAGAAAGAGGTCTAAGTTTATCTACTCAGCTTTCAAGTCACACATCTCGCTTTGCACTTTGTTCTTGACTGTTTCACTATCAGTTCTCAGTTCTGCTGAGGGGTCACTTCAGTTGCTGGCTGAAACAGTACAAACTATGAGCAATGCACATATAAAGCCCAGAACCTTAACACTGAAAAACTGCACATATAAAACCCAGGACATTAAAGCATTCAGCTTTTATCTGGCCACACTTTTGGCACTGCATTGAACCAATGATTCAGTTCCTACGCCTACAGGTTGTGTGCAGAGAATCTCCAGTTGGTGGTGATGGCATTAAGCAAGGATACCCTAGCACAGGGGTCTGTAACCGTGACAACTTTAAGACTTGTGGACTTCAGCTCCAAGAATTCCTTAGCCAGCATAGCTGGCTGAGGAATTCTGGGAGCTGAAGTCCACAAGTCTTAAAGTTGTCAAGGTTGCCGACCCCTGCCCTAGCAGTTTTGAAGGCAACTGTATTTCACTTGGCAAAAGTCTAGGTTAGGCAAGGCGTTGATATAGGAATGAAAGGATAGGACAGCTGGCAGGGCTGCTGCCGTTCTGTTCTTCAGTGCCCCCCCCCTTCAGGACCGTCCTGCAGTGTTCACAGCATCACCATTACTGTTGCCTTCTGACAAGAGACTAGGCCACCTGTCCTCCCAGTTTACTCCAAATTGGCATTATGCTCCCCCCCAAAACAAGAGCTCATTTGCAGAGGCACTGCTCTGCTCCCTTCCTAAAACCTGGAAGAAATGCTGCTGTTAAAACTTGCTCTGAATATTACTGCCTCCTTTACTTGGACCAGTTTCCTTGCTCAGGTAAAGGCAAGCCAGTTGGTCAGCATTCTAGCTTTGTATGTGAGAACTCTCTCCCCCCCCCCCAATTTGGAACTCCATCAAAGTAATCAACCATAGCGCTCTGAGGGGGCAGGGAGAGAGTTGCAACCTTTGTTTCAGGACCTCTCTATTAGAACAGAGCTTTTCAACCTTTTCACCCATTGTACCACTTTTAGGATATGGCAACATCCGAGTACCACCAGTCACCTAACAAGGTGTCAAAAACTTGATGACCAAAAAAAAGTGATAAAAGTACAGGTAGTCCTCGACTTACAACAGTTCACTTAGTGACTGTTTGAAGTTACAATAGCACTGAAAAAAGTGACCCCCAAGCCACAGCCGAGCAAGACACCTGCCTGCGGCGCTCTTCCTCCTGTCAGAGGTTTTCATTGTTGTGAGGCATTTCTGTTGAGGATTGGCAGCGGGGGTGGGGTGGGGGGGTTGCTTTTTATTCCCCCCGTCTGCTGGGTGGTTGCAGCAGGTTTTTGTCACTTCATATGACCCTGGGACACTGTGACCGTCATAAATATGAATCAGTTGCCAAGCATCTGAATGTAAATCACAAGACCCTGGAGAGGCTGCAACATTCCAGCTGACTGGTGCTTCTTCAGGGCTCAGCAGAAGCCCCAGGATCAGCGCCGAGCTCCAGCTGGAGCCTGGCACTGACCCTGGCGCTTCCACTGAGCCCTGACAGCCTCGAAGAAGCGCCAATCAGCTGGAAAGTAGCACTGATCCTGGTGCTTCCGCTAAGCCCTGCAGCTCCAGCCATCTCTCGCTCAGGCTTGTGCGGTGCTGCCACCGGTTCAGCTCATTCCCCTCCCCCGCTACCACTTTTCTAGGATGGTTGCGTACCACCTGCCAGGTGCCAATGTACCACAGGTGGTACCCGTACCACTGGTTGAAAAGCCCTGTATTAGAAGACAAAATTATACAAGAGGTCAATAAGCATGATAAAATACTTTCATATATTAAACAAAAATATTGTTCCAAATAAATACGTTTTGGGGAGCTTAGTAGAAATGGCATGTTTAGAGATGTAGAAAATGTCATTTAAGAATTTAAGTAAAAATTTATTTCATGAATTGAGAATTCATGTGGGAAGGGCTTATTTTATCAATTTGAATTGGGACTCCGTAATGAAGGTTGGTGTTTGTGATTTAACAATAACCATAAATCCTATTTGTTTATCCACTAATAATTGATTTTCTGACACATTAATGGCATGGTACATTAATAATTTTAAATCACTTCACATGTTAGGAGAGAAGGGGTGTTCCTGTGTGAATGCATATTGCAAGGACCCCTGGTTATTTGGGAGGATTTTGTGGTTCAGTGTGAGATCCTACCCACAAGGACATCTTCATTTCAGTTTGTTTTGTATTTATTATGTCAAAGACATGAATTCTTCTTTCTCTGGATGAGAGCAGTTACTGGAGTGAATTGGCACATGTTAAGGAATGTCTTGGGGCATGGGGGAAATGTCAAGAAAACCTGTCCAAAGGAAAAGCTTTTAAATTACCTCTTCATGCAGAAATGCAAAATCAAATTTAATTGCTCTCTTCCTGTCCTGTTCAGACAAGCAGACTCCTTTTGGTACATAGTAAAAAAGAGTCATAGTGGTAAGAGCTGGGATTTGTTTAGCTCTAGTGATCAGGAAAAAAATAGCAATAAGTATGAAAGAACAAAAAATGCAGCTGGGATGGGAGATGGGGACTGAACTTTTAACATTCTGGCATGGGCATGTATGATACCTGCCAAATCAGGTTTAAAAATGAAATGTCACATTCTTTGGTAACTTTGGGAATTTCTGGGTTCCAAATGGTGACAGTGACCAAATCAAAGATTTTAAAACCAGAATAATTTCTACTGTAGATTGCCTTAGCTTTGGTTAAAATTAGCATTTGTCTTTTAATTTGATCATTTGTGTCATCTTTTCTTTCCCTTTTCCTTTCCATTTCTCTTTCCCTTTCCATTAATTAGACAGATACAAAATTGCTGACAAATGTCCCTTCCATGTGTATTTTGCCCTAGGAAGGGACTTGGCTTACTCTGTCCATCACTTCAAGAGTTTCCCCACTCTCATTCAATCAAAGGAAGCCATTACGGCTACATTCATTTCAGTATTGTTGTTATAAGAAGCAATTCTCTGTGAGATACAGAATGTTTTCTTTTCATCCTAATAATAGTAAGTAAAGAAATCTTAAAATGGAACATTAGAATATTTCCTTATGCTCATACCTTTTACAGGCATCCCTGCCTATGTTGATCTTTAGTGATGGTTCTGTGAGAAATCAGTTGCACAGAAAGTATAATCTGTGCAAATAATATTTGCCTAAAATTTCTCTTAGGAAGAATAGTGTTTCTAAAAATAACACTACAGCTTCTGTTTAGGTACATATAACAGGCAATTTAAAAGTGTGTGTGCACGTGTGTGTGTGTGTGTGTCTGTGTGTATGTAGCCGTTTCCCAAGTGAAAACTGGATCACTGTCAGAACTTAACCTGCCAAGGGAACCATAAGAATTACCATCAGCCCTGCTCTGGAATCATTTGTTCCCCATTTGCCAGCCCTCTGGCATTGTCTAATCCCCCTCACAGACTGATCGTTATCTGCTATCTTTATTCTCTTTCCCACTGGCTTCCCTCCATCTTCTCTAGCTCTCTAAAGCAGTGGTTCTCAACCTGTGGGTCGGGACCCCATTTGGGGTCGATCGACCATTTCACGGGGGTCACCAAGCAAGGCTGTCCGCCATTTTTTTTGTCCGCCATTTTTTTCCCCTTCTCCGGCGGGTGCCTTACCTCCCTTGGGCTGGGCCAGCTGGTGGTGGGCCTGCTCCGTCTCTGCCGCTTGCCAGCTACGCCTCGGCCGGCGCAGGGGGCGGAACCACGCATGCGTGGCGCTCCCGGGCAGGGAAAGTCCTCGACTTACTACCAGTTGGGTAGTCCTCGACTTACGACCGGTTTAGTCCTCGACTTACGACCGGTTTAGTCCTCGACTTACGACTAGTTGGGGTCACGGCATTAAAAAGGTTGAGAACCACTGCTCTAAAGGAAGAGAGGAGGGGAACAGCAGGGCAAACAAGGTAAGAGCAATACCACCAGGGCTTCCTAACCGTCCACAGGTGTTTATAAGTGCATAACAGAGTGATCATTTTGGGAAAAGTGGGTTGGAATAGGGTGCAACAGTGTCTCTTAGCAAGCTCTAACAAAGTTGCCTGGAGGGAGGCTGAACCTTTCACTGTGAAGGAGGATAGTACTAGATGACTAAAAGAAAGATCCACTTTTAGTGCAGTCTTCACCATGCATGCTTTAACATTAACATTCATGGCCAGTGTGGGACCAAGTGACTAAATTGTTATATTCTCTATAGAACTCTCTGCTAGGACTCTCCCTTGCTTGGTCACATGTGAGTGTGCCCAGATGGATGCCTGTGGAGCATCACTTGGCCTGTTTCCTTCCTTCTGCTAAGTTACCTCCCCTGTTTATCCTCAAGGAGATGGTCCCAGTTCCAGCCCCAGATAGGCTACTTTATCATGACGGCCCTTTGCAGTAGATAAAAGTTGAGCCAGGGTCCCTATGTGACTTATGATTGTGCAAGAATTTCACAGCAGCCTCTCATCACTGCCATGTTGCAAGAAAGGATCAGAACTTGGGTCATCTGAAAGGTTCTTTCTATGTCTGGAGACAGACACACAGTATTGTCTCTGCCCGCTGATTAGATCTGCCTTTTCCTTTCTTCTAACACAGCCAAAGGGAGGATGTTACAGCATACCAGAGGGAGGAAAGGCCCTTCAGAAAGGCTGGCTGTGGAATTCTGGGAGTTGAAGTCCACATGCCTTAAAATTGTCAAGGTTGAGAAACACTGGATTAGAGGCTTCTAGCTGCAGAAGATACATTGCCAATGCTCCTCAGTATCTCAAAGAGAGACTTGGTTTTCTATGGTACACTGTTTTAAGAACTACCCTGGTTTGTTCATAATCTAGGGCCGTGGTGGCGAACCTATGGCACGGGTGCCAGAGGCGGCACTCAGAGCCCTCTCTGTGGGCACGCGTGCCATCGCCCCAGTCCTAGGCCTTCAGCTGGGTTTTATAAAACCTTTTCGCTTTAGGCCTCCGCCGCTGTGTACAAAAAAAAAGGTTCAATCAATGAGTCAATTTCAACTTCTCGCGGGGGAAAAAAAGATCTTGCAAAGTTGGAATTGATTGATTGAACTTTTTAGTCCCACCCACTCTGCCGTTACCACTGCAGCCATACCCACCCGGCACCCGACGATGCATAAGTGGGTTTTGGGTTGCAGTTTGGGCACTCGGTCTCTAAAAGGTTCACCATCACTGGTCTAGGGTGAGTTGGCCGGCAAGTTTATTTCCAAGTGGACTGACATCCATGCTTGATCATTAAGGTATCTTGGTCTCTTGGGGGAAAAAAAGATTATCTTAGATTGAAACTGAGTACGGACAACAGTTTTCTGGCCTCCATATGTATCCAAACTGCCACTGATCTCAGACAAAGGTTAGAAACAGAGCAGGATATCTGGAATTATTCTTTTAAGAATTTGAACTAGAGAAAGCCAAGGGGACATCTTATGCAAATGAGTATGATTCCAATTACCATATTCATCTCAATAACTGCAGCCTGCACAAGAATGTGGGCTGTTATTTGGTGTGAGGATGGGGGAGCCATAAAATTCCTCAGTTTTTTAGAGCAGTTACCTGAAAAACATCATGTAAATTTGAAACTATCAATCATACCTTAAGTGGACAGTTTTGAATCCAGAAAATTCCAGTTCACATCTTTGCGTAAACTTGATTCATTTGCTTTTAGCTTATCCTGAACCTACCTATTATGGCCTAATGTACAAATCAGGCTGTTGTGGCTTGTTCAGCAAACCATGATTTTTACTCTTCTGACTTAGTATGACAGCTCTTGAAATAAGGCTAGTTTTGCCAAACCACTTTAGACTAAACAAAATTATCTTTACGTTGGAGAGGAAAAATGGCATTGTTTAAAGATTACAAAGGATATATATGATGAATGGAGTTTTGCAACATAGACTCACAACAGTCTTGTTTAAAATGCCACCTCAGAATATATGTTTATATGGCATTTCACTTTTTTTTCCTTTTTCACCAGGAAATATGAAAATGGATCCAAAGTCCTCCTGAAACTTATTGACCTTGAACTCTCCTCCAGGTTCTTGGGAGCAACAAATGATACAAACTTATTGGAAGCAGATGCTGTACTTTTGGGGCTAATGGAAGGAAGAGAAAGTAAAAATAAATAGTAAATGTTTGTTCTTTTTAAAAAAAACCTCTTGTCGCTAAATACTTATTTGTACAGAATATCCCACTTGAATTAAAGTGTTGAAATTATTCATTCATTATTTTTGTGATTAAAATAAATTTAAATGTAAAGTTAGCCTTTTGTAGGTCATTTATTATTGGCAATAACATTTATTCTGTTCTTTCAATTTTACATTCATACTAAAAATGAGAGATTTGGAAGATTTTTCCAGATTTCATTATCTTACAATTACATCAAATTTTGGCAGGTAAAATATAACAGATGACTGTGGTCATCATTTATTTAAATCATGATTTTCTAATTCAGGTGAAAGTAAATCTTAGAGATGAACAAAATCATGCTGACCTTTTTTTGGCTTAATCCTAATTCATAATCATTCCTTTTTTAGTTGTTCTTGTTTTTTTCTCTCTCTTTTGGTTGGTTGGCAGATTAGAATATGGAAATCACAAGCCTCATTAAGCCTCAGGTGCAAACAATAAGCCTCAATAAAACATGTTGAGTTGTTGTTTCAACTCTAAAATATTGCATGTAGACCATATCCTCCCCCCCCCTTCAATCTCATTTGTTAGAGGTTGTTAAACTTGCTTTATTGGACCTTTATTATGATAAAATAAATTTGTCCAACCCGCCCCTCCACATTTATGACTAGTGATTTCATTGTGGTTAGGATTAGGCAGAAATGGATCAGTTTTAAAAATTAAATACATTTAAATATCAAACAAAACATTAATAGAATCTTAACAGCTTTATATTTTTTTTTTAAAAATAGTAAAATTTGAAACTTATTTTTAATGGAGGGATGAGCTTGCTGACTTTTGTATAATTCTTTTAATCTTCTTCAAGCATGCTAGCATAATCCATTTATTTTGCTTGTTTAGCCTCTTTTACTCACTCCCAAGGCAATGTGTGTGTGTATGTATATATATATATGTGTGTGTGTGTGTGTATATGTATACACACACATATACATATACATATACATATACATATACATACATACATACATACATACATACATATAGATAGAGAGAGAGAGAGAGAGAAAGAGAGAGAGAGAGAATATAGTTGTGTGTATATATATATATATAATCAGTTTAAAGCCTCTTTCACTTTGTTTTTTTAAACATCAGTTTTGATAAACAACATAAGGGGTTGATTATCCCTATAGCACTCTAATACAGTTCTTTTTATTCTAGTCCAAGCAGCTTTCACATCCTTTTCTTATACCCACTTTCTATTCATTCTGTTGGGAGATTATCTTCAGAATATGTTTTTATAAGAATTGTTTGTCATCTTTCTTTATTTCACTCTAGTTTTTTTGCCTTTCATTCCGTTGTTTTCTTGTCCATTTTTTCCCAATCCAGTCTTGACACTACCAAAATAGAATTGCTATCCTCTGCCAATGTCTTTTCTAAAATGCAGTGCCTGGAACTGGACTTAATATTCAAGGTACTCTCTGATTTATGCAGAATAGAGAGGAACAAGTATTATCTTGAACTTGATACTGTACTTTTGTTGATGCTGTTTAGGGCTGCATTTGCATTTTTAATTTAGTTTATAATCCAAGACGCCTAGGTCCATTTTATATGTTCTGCTGGCCTGTATTCGTCTTCTCAGTCCTATACTTATGCATTTGAGTTTTCTACCCAAAAACCCAAATTGTATTTCTCCCTCTTAGTATTCATATTTCCAGTTTTCCTAGCTTGCCAATATCCTCCTGAACGTTGGTATTGTCCCGTTTGCTTTCCCTATTATTTTTGTGTCAATCACACATTTAATAATCGCCACCATTGCATGATAGAAGCCCCACAGCTTCTTAAATACATGTTTAAAATGGGAAGGGCTATGATCCAATTATTATGCTCACATGTTCACTTTTTATTCTCCCTTGAGAACATCCCTGTGTTGAAAAAGTAGGGCCTAGCCTAGAGCTGTGCAGCATGCCACTCAGAAACATTGACATATATTTGATGGTTTTAGTTGTTCATCCAGCTCTGTATTCCTCTTCAGATGACATCTGCAAGTTCATTCAGACTCTTAGGGACTCCAAGCATGGAAACTCATCCATGTGATTCATGGGAACCATGATGTGCTGCCCTGAGATGCTAGTATATATATTTGTATATACAAGTAAATAAATTAATATGTGTTTATTGTTTATTTTGTATCTCTCTGTTCTCTGCCTTGTTTCCATGGTAAGAAAGCCTAGCAGGGAAAAATAACCCTAAGAGCCTTATCTACTTTTGAGTGGAAAGAATGCTCCAAGACCTCAAGTTGTGTCTCTCCATCCTGTACCAGACAAAGCAAGCTGCTTTGGGGCAAAGGAAACAGGAGCTGTGAAAGAGCAACGGCTGCCTGGAATCGCTTTCTGCTGTGCCCTTTGGCCTTTGGACTGCAGCTTCCCTGCACACGTTGGATCACAGGGGAGCTGAAGTTTCATTTACCGACTGAGCAACTTTGAAAAAAAAAGCCCTGTTCCCAATTAGTGTTGCAAGTTGCCCAGATCAATGGTGGGTTAAACTGAGCTGCCCACTCAAGTGGGGGGCATAGCGTGCAATGAAAGGAGAGGAAAGAGTTGGTTTGTGTGTGTGTGTGTGCATGGGGGGGGGAAATGCGTGCATCTCTTTCAAGAGCGCTGGATTCTTTCAAGCGAGCTGCATTCTTGTGTGAAAAACAACTGCCACAATACTTAAGTTGTAACCTTCTCACCCCTGACGGCATGGGAAAGTGTACTCTTCAGCTGTTAGTGGGAAGAGAGGCCGTGGTAGTCATGAGAAATTTGGATAAAAAATGCAGCTTTGAGCTTGCCCTTCTCTTTTGCACATGTCATCTTGCCTATCAAACAGCTTAATTGGAAAATTAGTTGTGCTTTTCATTAAGAGCTTTGAAAATTCAAGTGCCAATAATTTCTCTGGGGGCTTTTATTTGGAGGTGGGGGCATTACTGTATTTGTTAGGAACATATGTATAGTAGGTTCAGAAGAATGCAACAGAAACACATAAAAAGCTGGGTGCATTGACCACTGATTTGTTCTTGTTCTATTTTCAGTTGCAAGGTTTAATTCATTTTCAGTAGTTGATTTTTTTCTATAAGTTTCACTATGATAATTGAAAATATATTTATATGTTTTCTAATTATTAGAAAAATATAAAATTATAATATTGTATAAAATAGTAAATATAGAGTTTTTCTTGGAACTTTTTTGCAAATTACCTGATTACAAAAATCAGGATTCTGATTTTTGGGGAGAGGGGGCGTTGCTAGTTGGCTCACAAAAAATCTTGATGAAATTATTCAAATGTAAAAATGCTCCGACACAGCACTGGAGCATTACTTTTTAATATCAATTCATTCTATATTGAATATACATGGCAAGGATGAGGGTGAGAGATTAAAGCCACTATCCCAATCATTTCCAAGGGCAAAAGCTTCCAGGAAGGTCCCTGGCTTAGCCCTGCACCTGTTTCCAGCTCATTATTCTTAGGACTTCTCTAGATCAAGGGTCTACAGCTGTTGCCAGCATGTTGAGCTGTCCTCTGCTGCTTCACTGCCCGGTTAGAGAGGGTCATGGAACTTTAAACCATCATGAAAAGAACTCCTGTGCCACCATCTTGAGATCCTTTTCTCATGTGAACCTAACAGCTCATATGGAAGTTATTCTAAATTTTGCAAATAGCACAGATGAGTGGGTAGGAAAGATGCCTAAATAGTACCTATCCCAGGAAGTGGCACTTCGCAGCATTTTACATATAAAATACAAAGCTGAATGGTGCTCAGGGTACCTTCAGATATAGAATCTGTATACGATCAGTTCCCATTTATTACTTTGAAGTGATAAATCAGTGAACAATAGCCATAATTGTAGAACAGCTGTGGAAATACTGATTAGACAAGAGTGGATAACCCTGGCAGTTCTGTAAATCCCATGGCTGTGTAATTGTGGTGTGAGTTACATATTGAATTTCCCTGGAAGGGAAATGAGTTCCCCATCCACTCATCCATCCAAATTTACCTTTAGACAGTTGTTTTAAGATTTGCTGAAAATGTGTTGATGGGAGTTGATGAGGTTATTTTTTCTATTATTCCTTTGGGGAGAAAATTCCCTTACATTCAGATCCATGTTTCTTTTATGTATGTTTATTAGATAATAAGGATATGCAGTGATCCAGGTTTAAAAGGGAAACAACTGACACCTGTCAGTACTTCATTTCATCAAACCCATCTTTTCATGAGACCTTTGACTGCTGGCTGCAACGAAAAGAAAACGACTCTTTTTGAAGGGCTGCTTGGAGGGCTTGCATGCAAACCAGATGTGATCTAAATATTTTTTTTTCCTTTTGAATTCAGGTTGATCCACAGTCCTAGAAGGCAGTAATTAAGAATCATCCTGGAGTTAAGTTTCATCTGTGCCTGACCAATGCTGTCAATAGTGAACCAGTTATTTACTAGTGGTTTGATTAATAAAGAAGTCACAAATCATTTTTGTAAATTCAGAGCTTTCATAGCGTAATATACGTATTTATGAGAAGTAAATCCTAATGTTACAGAACAATAACCCACAACAATAACCCAGAACTGACCCACTGATAAGTGTGTGTCTGTAAACACTCACACATATACATATACACACATATAATGTTCATCAGTACTTGACTGCTTCAAAATGCATTGAATTTTGTACTTAGTGCATGAAAATGTTGTCCTGGTACTCATAGTTTGTTTGGTACTCAATGTACTGCAATAGGAAGAATGGAATGGTCCCGGAGAATGGACAGGAAGTTGGCCATGCTGGGAAGGTCACTAGCATAGGAAAAGTGAGAGACAGGAAGTCCTTCCCAGCTGAAACAAAAGATCATGTGATTAAGTCATGTAGTTTGGTACTCGTTTTTAGTATTTGTCGCACTTCCTGGAACCAATTAAAACAACGATATATAATAATCGGTGTGGTGGCCTAGTGG